ATGATGGTAAGCAATCAGCGCTGCCCATGGACACCCGCAACATCAAAGTAGTTGTTGTCAAGTGCGTTGCCGGTCTTTTAGGGATAAATATTTAGGATATTTAAGGATTGGGAAGCGATGGGAGAGGGATTGGGCCACCGGTTACCTCACTCAGACAGCGAAACACAACGATGTGGTTGTTTCACGCCGGTTTTCTGTGAGGCCGTTGTATCACTCCGGTCGAGCCGACCCATTTGCGCCGAAGTTTCGCTCTCCAACACTTAAATATGATAAAAAAAATCCATGATAAGAAAGTGCGACTTTAATGATGATTATTAAGTACTTAAGGGAAAAAATACTGTCTTTTTTCTGTTCTATACAAACGGAACTCAAATTTACAAGGCAACTCACACTTGCCCAACTATATGTAAGCATTGATATTTTTCATGTTTTCTATGAATTGGCAAATGTGATGAGATTGTCAAGAGACCTGTCTCTGAGGTATTGAATCCTGTATAAGCCTAGGTGGCATTTAAATGAATCTTTAAGATACTTTTTATAATATCTTATACAAAAATACGAATAGAATGAAATATATCAATGTCAAATTAAGCCTACATGGAAAGATTGCCAGAAAGGTGTTACTCGGCGTTCGATTCATTCTTATAGGAGAGATACATATTATGCTACTAAATTTATTGAAAATGACAACCGATTTACTATCGACAAATAAAAAAAATCTCTGCTAGTTTCGACTAACAACGGGATTCACACGAGCAGTCGTGGCGACTTCATGCAGCGAACTGATGTTATCCTTAGTATTTATCGTAATATTTTTAAATTAGTTTCTAGCATTGTCCTTACTGAAATTGGCAACTCTTTAACATTTTAAATAAAACTGGTTAAGAGATTTTCAAATATTTTATTAGAGGTTCCATTCTGGAAATAAAGTTTCGTGTATAATAATAATCTACTGACATTTAAAACAGTCGCGATCGTATGGCGCGTTGCGTTTCGCGCACGCCTGAAACAGCCAATACCACTACAGACGGGGCCCTGTTCAGCCGGGTTGCGGGCCAAGCGCAATAAGGTATCGCGCCCTCGGCCTAGAGCAGAAGAGTGTGGGAGAAGTTTTTAGCTGATTTTTCCCTCACAAAAAAGGCGTTTAAAAGCAGTATGCGATTAAAATTTAAAGTATAAAACACCAGATAAATCAACAGAGAATCCTCCTTATAGTTTATGAGTAATAAAATAAGGACATGTTTTACGTTCTGCAAACGATCGTCTCCCCGATAAGTGTACGTGCGATAAATGGCGTCGATAAATACGTCATCCGAGTAGTTTCTCCTAGAGGTCAGATGAGAAGTGAACGATTTCTGAGCTCTAGTATCTGTTATTACTCTTAACCACAAGATGTTGCGATATCGTAATATTTTTCTAAAGTTATTGATACTTTTCTTAGAAGTTTTTCTTTGCCATCTTATGTAGGGTCCGTCTTAAGTCAAGGAAAAATGGTCGTTAATACAAAAGAGTGGTATGAAAATAAATAGGTGTCAATTGATAGAAACCATTTATGCGTTTGGTTGTCTGTAGGACTTAAATTTGGTGCCTTAAACGAGTTTCGCAATTGGCATTTTTGGGGATTCGGGTTTCAAAAATTTAGGGTATTGGAGAGGTGGACGATGAGATGAGCCTCATGTTACTTTACTTATACGATAAAACACAACGCAGTGGTTGTTTGACGCTGGTTTTTCTTTGAGCCTGCGGTGTCAATCAGGTCGAATCGACCCATTCTTGCTGAAATCTTGGCTCTCCCGCAGTTAAAGCAAACAAGTTATTTTATATAATTTTTAATGAATATGACTTATTACTGTAACTGTAACTATTGTTTATCATATACTGACAGACAAGAGGTTAATATTCTACATAGATTGCTGACGACCATGACTTGCACAAAAACTTCATAATAATAATATTCTAATACAATAAACATATGTATAATATTGGCGTGCCACGAGTTTGTCATAGTAACAACGAGTGGATCTACTCGACTCGCTGAAAGATTTATGGTTGTAAGAATTATTTATTAATATTATCACTCGTTATTATTGTATTCATGCTGTTACATTATATTTGCATGCTGTGGCTTCTTATAAGTGGAGAAGCACAAGAAAATATTTTGTTATGTATATTGTCTGGCATTTGAGGTGTTCTCTCTGTTGGGAGTCCAAATAAATAAATATCTAATATTATTATTATATATGCAGTAAACTTAAATAAAATACTGTTTTTCCAATAACGTGTTGTTTTAAAAGCTGGTCAATACCTGCTTGTTTTTTGATGCTGAAGTATATTTTTTAAAGATTTGAAAGTTGAGAGATTTGCCTCCAGTACCCCAAATCACGCGGCAGCGTAGTTTGATACTGGTTTTCTGAAAGGCCGTGGCCACACTTCGGACGATTAAGCCTGACGTAACTCTCCCACACGAAATCATATAAATTAAAGTATTGCTATAAATTATTTTTTTAATAACCATAATTATTATTTTACAAATATAATTTTACTGTAAAAATATAAAATGTCAATTTATAAGCCCCTTAGGAATCGTTTGAAATCGTTTCTTTGTAGTAGAAGCCCTCCAAAAATAGACTTTCTAGATTGGATATTAAAAGCTTAATAAAGTACCTTATTGGATAGCTCTTATAAAAGGAAAAATATTATATACTAGCTTTTGTCCGCGTCTTCGTTCGCATGGAATAGTGACTCCCTGCATATTTTTAAGTTTATAACTATCCTATGCCCTTTCTCGAGTTCCAAACTATGTCTGTACCAAACTTCACAGAAATCGATTCAGTAGTTTAGGCGTGAAGAAAACACAGACAGACAGAGTTACTTTCGCATTTATAATAATTATTAGTTTGGATAAACTCGAAAATATTTGCCTTTCTTGAGGACCACCCGTTGGATACGGTGGAGTGAACATTGACGTGTTCTCACTAGTCCTCAGGGAAGTGATCGCGCGCGCCTCAAAGCCGCGGGCGCCTCAAAGAGCCAACAGACCACCACAGACGGGGCCCTAAAGGGCTGATGTTCAGCCGGGGTTGCAGGGTAAGCGCAATGAGGCACCGCGACCTCGGCACAGAGCAGGAGAAGGAACAGGGGGGTTTTTAGTCAGTAAGAGTCTAACACTCCCTCCTGCCCGGCCCTGGGCGGGAGAAGTCATTTGATGATTTTCCCCTCACAAAAAAAGGGAAGTGATCAGCTGCGGCGACTGACTTCTCGCGGCCAGCTTTGTCGAGGCCATAGCGCGTAGCGAGAGGAACTGGGAAGGCGTCTCCTCCTTATACGAAACAGTAATGCTCGTAAAGAAGTAGGCGGAGAACGTCAAACGTCAACGATCTATCGAGCAACAATCTCCGGAAAGCGTAAGCGGCTCTACCCATTTTGAATGCCGCCAACAAGCTTGTAACTCCCAACCAGGCCGCGTTCAGTTCCGCGCGCGCCTCAAAGAGCCAATAAACCACCACAGACGGGGCCCTATAGGGCTGATGTTCAGCCAGGATTGCGGGATAAGCGCAATGAGGCACTGCGACCTCGGCCCAGAGCAGGAGAAGGAACAGGGGCTTTTTAGTCAGTAAGAGTCTGACACTCGTTTCAGAAGTCATTTGATGATTTTACACTCACAAAAAAAAGCTTGTAACTCCTCTAACGTTGTCCATGTGTAGTGACAATTTGCTTATCATCCAGTGTTCAGCAGGCTCGTTTGCCACTCTAACCCAAAATAAAAATCTAAGGACAGACTTCCAAATTTTTAATCAGCAACCTTGTACAATATACTATAATCTTACCTACTACGCAAAACACGTGTTAATATATGTACATAACACATATACATATACATATATTTACTACCACTATATACGACCGAATGTACACAGAAAATACACACGCGAAGAGATTAATTGCATTAACTGCTAACCGTGAAAATATTTGCAAGATATATAATTATACATTGCTTTATTGTACTGTTTTATACAGTTATACTTTTTTCCTACAGTCATAATATTACAAATAAAACTTCCTTCTTGTGATTTAACTGAGGATTTTTCATCTATGTAGATCTTGATATAATATATTAAAATATGATATAAGCGTGGGAGAACCATGCTTCGACACAAATGGGTCGGCTCGACCGGAGTGATACCACGACCTCACAGGAAGCAAAGCGTTGTGTTTCCCCGTGTGAGTAAGGTTACCGAAGGCCCAATCCTTCCCCTCCCTCAAACCCTGAATACCGTGAACCCTAATTCCCTAAAGTTCGGAAAAGCACTCGTAACTTCTGCATTTTTGCGGGTGTCCACAGGTGGCGCTGATTGCTTACCATCAGATAATCCGTCTGCTCGTTTATCATCCTATCACATATAAATGAATCCCAGTTTTTCTTGGTCACGGTATTATACTTAAACAGCTTGACCGGTCGTTGTTCGGTCAAGTCACTGCTAAGGTCAGGGAAGGGCAAGGTCAGGGATCTTATGATTTTTTTTTAATATTACAGTGGAAATTCAAAAAGTAGCAATATCTTTATTATGTACTAGTACTTAACTTACTTAACTAACTTAACTACTTAAATTTTATGCAAAAGATATGGTCTAGTAAAATATTAAACTGCTATTCAGACTCTCTCAGAAAATTTCTCTTTTTTTTTATAGAACGCACTATGAGTTCGGCATTTCAGTTTTATGCTGCACTAAAACTGGATTTAAATAAATAAATATTTAATCTTTCATTTACATCTTATCACTGATCAAATAGGATTCATATAATTTCCTTACTATATGCAATGATAAGGTTGCGTTTCCACTGAGGCTAATCACAGAAAAGTGTATATCTATGAAGCACGATGGAGAAGAAATGTGAATTTGAAGCCATGTGGAACCACAGCCTTATGTTTGATAACTCTCTGTTTGCATATAATAATTAAACAAGCTGCCTTGCTTATAGGGGAGTGTGTATTCAAAAAGTAATTATTAGGCACACTGCACGTTACGTCGGTAGATATAATAATTATGTTAGTAGGAAATTATTCCAAAATAAATTACATGTACGTATTAATAATGCCTACACTGATGTGGAACTATTGTGTGTAGAAAGTGAAATGCGTTTTTTTTATAAATTATTTTAGTTATTTCTCCTATGTTAAGATTTTATTCAGTTTGGTGAATGTATTTGTATTTTAGAACTGCGATACACATAGCTATATTACCTTTTGGTATCCATTAAACATCCTTCTTAGGGAATCAAAGCCATCTTCTGCGTGTACCGTGTCATCATAATGTACTGCAATCAGTGACTCTATGCTGTAGTCACATAACTTCAAAACAACAATTATATTTTTGCCAAAAGTAATAATTAAAACTAAACATATAATTCGTCTCCAGTGTAGCAGGCACCTTAACATTTAGACTAGGTATGTATGTATATATTGTGTCTTTTGTAGGCGTAGTAGTATCATAATAGTAGCTGAGATTGTGTCATTTTTACCTTTTAAAATGAATGACGAAATGTGTGAGCCTAACAATCAATACATATGTCCAAACAAAATCTCAAATAAACTTGAACAGTGTATTTCTGATATAGCAAAACGAAATGGGTTTGTCAAATATGATATTGAAAAGAAAGAATTTTGCACAAATGGAGGCAGTTATTTGGGACTACTATATGAAATTGATATAAATGGACACACAAATGATGGTGAGAAAGAAATAAATATATTTGTCAAGAGCATTCTCCCAGGTGACATTGATTTGCAAATGTTGTCAGTACGTGATGTTTACGAAACTGAAATGTTCGCTTACAAAATAATTTTCAAAATATTCGATGAACTACAAGAAGAAGCAAATGTACCAGTTGAAGAAAGATACAAAACAGTGAAAAGTTATGAAGAGAGTGACGCAGAAGTGATTTTAATGGAGAATGAAGCAAAAAAAGGATTCAGTACTGGACATAGGATGGACGTCATATCTTGCCAGTTTGCAGAAATGGCAATTGCAGAACTTGCTAAATTCCATTCGCTTTCTTTCGTGCTAAAGGTAAAACGACCATCATTTTTTGAAGAGCTAGAAGTTAAAATGAGGACGTCTCCGTACAATACTGGTGACAAATGGCAAAGCATTGCGCAAAACATGATTAAGATAACATTGGATAATACAGACGAAGGAATCAAGGAAAGAGTTGAGAAGTTTTGCGAAAATATTGGAGATCGAATCACGAGTTGTTATGAGAATGAATCTGTACGTCGAAGTCTGTGCCACGGCGATTATAGGCCTAATAATATACTGGTCAAAAAAGTTGTAAGTATTTATATGACCTGTTTTAATTTATTAATTATTAGCTTTTGTCCGCGTCTTTGTTCGCGTGGTATAGTGGCTTCCAGCAGATGTTTCTTTTTTTTTAGTTCCAACCTATTTCTGTACCAAATTTCATACAAATAGGTCAAGTAGTTTAGGCGTGAAGAAAAGACAAACGACGTCAACGTTTGTAAATTGTCGAAAATAATAAAACTCTTCTTAAGGGATAGGGTGACAAACAAACAGACTGATCATGTGATGGCAAGCAGTCCGTATCTCCTATAATGCTAGAGGAGTTGAAAGTGCTTTGCTGGCCTTCAAGGTGGTAAAGGGTTTAGCGATTGGCAGATCTGAGTATAACCCTCCGGTAACCTGTATCACACGGCAAAACATTTTTCTGTGAGGTGTGTACCGGGTGTGTACCAAAGACTTATTATGACTTGTTTGAAAAAGCCTTAAAATTTTCCTTATTAGGCACTCCATAAAATAAGCCAAGATTGTTTCTTCTACAGAACGAACCATTTGCTGTAGAGATGAAAATGAAATTCGCAGTTATGTAGCCTTGTAAGATAACAGAATGAAAAATGTTTACGAAAACTATGTCACTTAAGCGGAATTTAGATCAAATTAGTACAAACGTGCAATTTTTATCAGTAGTTTTATCTTTGTTATATTTAGATAAGAAAAATCAAGACCAAACGCAAATTTAGATTAAATAGATCTCTCTTATATAAATGCTATTTTTTCCACAGGATGGAGAGATATCCGAATTAATACCAATCGATTATCAAATGATGTATTATGGATGCCCAGTCGTGGACTTTCTATATTTCATCATATGCTGTACTGACAAAGAATTTCGAAAACATCACTTGTTGCACTTGAAAAATTTATACCATGAGGCGATGGCAAGATTTTTGAATTATTTTGATCTGGACGTCAACCGCTTCTATACAAGGGAAGATTTTGAGAAGGACTACGAAGAAAGATTGAATTCTGGACTGGTATTGGCGTTAGTCTTTTTACCTTTTGTATTTGCATCGGAAGATGATGTTCCTGATTTGACAAAAGACGATCGCGACATGGATAAATTTAGTTTGAATGTTGATAAAAGGTACAAAAACAGAATACAAGGAATAATCGAGGATTTCATTGAGTGGGGTGTAATTTAAATTATTTATTGTTTGTCATGTTCTTTTTGCTTAATGATTATGATTTTATATGTATACTTTTTTGATCGTTTACCTAATTCAATCAGTTTTGGGCTGTTTTTTCTAATAAAATAATTTATATGTAGATTAATAAATAATTTATTAGTACCTTAACGTTTATAATCAAACTATCTTTTACTGCACCGTTGGCGTGGTGGCTGGGCAACTGGTTGTCGCGCAACGCGTCGCGGTTTCAATTCACGATGGGTATAACCCTATAACCCTATGAGAGATCTACAAATTTTCATTCCGTGTCTGGGTGTGATGTGTATGTAAAATAGTATGTTTGTACACTTACCCAATTTTGTGAGTAGTTTTTACTTCTCCTTTTTTTCGTAATGATAAAATGTTTAGATAATAGTAAAGGTTGGAACATGCATTAGCATTTTCATTTGTACTAATGTCCTTGTGTCATATTCTAACTACATCCCTTGTGCTGCTGACAGCCTGCAATTGTGTTCAATTTGCAATTGTATTGTGTCTGATTTAATGCTGATTCGAATTCCAATAAGACCAATAATGGATAATTTTATGACCAATAGCTGATTTCAGAACCATTTTTTAGGCTTAACATTTAATTTTATGTTTTACTTGGCATGGCTGCGGGCGTTTGTAGCTATATTTAACCATAATGTTACATGAAACAGAAGGAGGAACAAAGGGTTCGCACTGGCCGAGGGAATAAATTAGACGATTTACTGCCCACTAAAGATATAACATCGTCATCGTCATCATTACCGAGGAAAGGATTGTTCTCACACGGATAAGGTATGAGATTAATCAGCACGCTTGCTCAAGGTGGTTTGACAGGACTTTACAGATCAGGGAGTGTAAATGTTGAAGATAAGAAGTAGGAGATTACTACAATCTGGATTTTAATGTTGCCTTTTTTATAGCCAGCGAGAGTTGGACCAACAATGTAACTTGTAACCATAAGCAAGAGTTATGCCAAATTCTACTTAACGCTTAAAAGAGTAATGACTGTTTCACTATGTATGAATAGCCACTATATTTTTTTATGTTGTTAGTATTTTTTATTTTTTGTGTAGTAAGTAAGTTTTATGTAGTAGCAAGCCGATTACTTGATGGTAGAAAGCGGCGCCGCCCATGGTCGTCCGCAACACCAAAGGAATTACAAGCACGAATGGGTCGACTCGACCACAGTAATATCATATCATATTATAATAACCTCACAGAAAATAGAAAATTGTGTTTTGCCGTGTGGGTGAGATAATCCTTCCCCTCCTCCATACCTTCCCAATGCCTAAATCTCCGAAACTCAAATCTCCAAAAGCTGTTGGGTTGCCTCTGCCGTCTGGTGTGGTGGGTTGTGTCGATTGCTCGTATATCACATAAAAAAAAACCTTTGATTAAGTTCCCGATAAATTTGCATAAATTTGCATCACACAAATTATGTTCTATATTCAAATAAAATGTATGTGTACACAGCGGCTATTCAGATATCGTGAATTAGGCCCTAAGTAATTAAACTTATTTACGACTAGTCTTTGAATCAGGCGACGCTCATTTGTTTGAGGTCAACCAAAATGGAGTTACATTGCTTTGTAAGTAATCTAAAGCTGACTTACTAGGTATTTCTAGTCTAGATTTAAGATATTGTATGGTCAAATGTAATCGGAGCACGGAGCGTACACTTGTATTATAAACTGACTTGGAATAGGATCTGTTTTTAATTCTGACTTGATGAGAAGTTGTATTGTTAACCTCAACATTAGAAGGCTAACCTGAATATATGGAAAGGCTTATAATTTTCAATCTAACAATTTTCACAAACTCTTTACCTCAAGGTCATTTAAATGTTTACTTAACAGTTTTTAACCAGGTATTCTCCGATCCAAATCATTTGTAAGGAATACATTAAAAGTCATTGCACATTGCACATCTCTCAGTAAGGTAGAAAAGTAAAAAGCATTTGTTATGAAAAAACAAGAACATACCTACAGAACACCTATCGGAAAATTCATCCAGTGCAAAATTGTACCACGAATCATGCCAATTTTGAAAAATCCAGCGTGCCGCGTCCTGGTTTTTCGTTCTGTAAATAACGTTATATAGATACAGTGACGGTTTTCTATGTAGATATAACAGCCCTCACACTGAATCCAATTCATAGTTCTTGTGCCATTTGAATAAAAATAGGGCATACATAATCTGGCCACGTACGTAACGACGCGGCTTAAATGTGTGAGCAAGGGTAAGTCTACAGTTGCCAAATATACAGTACCTAGATATCTATAAACTGTTTAGAACATATAGGTATTCTAGTGTAAAAATACTGGTAAGTTATTCGTCAAAGACAGATTAGTCATTTAAATTGTGTAAGAATCGCTTTGATCAACATTGGAACTTACTTTCGTGAAAACAAATTATTATTTAAGTCTTTGTAAAATGTAATAAAACTGGAGCTTGTCTTGACACGCGCTCGCATGTCTAGATGAGACAGCAAAGTCATATTACAGACATAGAAAAAAACATTTTCTTAAACGAAATCCGCCGTTCATGCTGGTATAAACCCCAGAGATTTGCCAGTCATCCTTGTGTCTTACAAACACAATTCTAATAACACAAATCTGGACGCGGTCTTACCCTGTTTCACGGTGGCTACTCTTGGGAATCTCCCTTCGAGACAGCGCAGATTCTATGTAGCGACTACTTGAAACCCGTTCTGCATATTTTATTGCAAGTGTCCCGAAGCTGGGACGTCGCCACGCGCACTGCCCGTTTATATTTTTTTCCTATTCAAACTGAATTTATGACGTATTTAGAGAATTTTTTCTAGCACGTTCGCTGAGAAATGGCTTCATATCTTGAACAACAACATTTTTGCGTCCTTATTGAAGTTCGTGAATGAGGCTGAGATTGGAATCTCAAATGGAGCAAAAGCTCACATATTTTACGGTTATTTATTCACATACAATTGCTTTACGGACCAGCTGAAATATATAGGCGAAAGTTATAAAATTGATAGCGCCTCGCTTACTTATATTGTTGTCGAGTTTACAGGTATTTGCGCAAATAACTTGCCTGTAGATTGATTTGCCACTAAATCGAAAAATCATTTCAAGCGTTTGTAATATTTAGACTATAATGTAGCAACAATTGTTATTATTCTTAAAGAGACAGGTAAGAGTAATTGTGATCACTATCATTTCTAGAAGAAATCATAGTCTGACCCGGGGCTATCGGCCTCTCCGTTGAGTCATCCTTTAGAGGTACATTATTATCGTCATGATAGCATTTTGTCATCTATTCTTGATTTTGGCTTGCGAAGGCTAACGATTAAGTAATCATAATAATCTTACACCAAACGATACCTTACGGCAATAGCAATAAAGAATACTAATGATTACCATCAAAAGAAACGTTATTGACCTAATTTCGGGCAGTATTTCCTCTAATTAAAAGTAAACACACCACTCGGTCTACTGAACCATTTCTTGAACAATCCAGCCCTTTGATTGTGGGTGTTCCACCCTAACTAGGGCCAAATGGTACCTTCATTCATGTCACCGTAATTGCCAATTAGTGCGGTCGATTCTGTTTATCAATGCTGCCCTGTTTTACCAACCACCTATACGCCAGAATACAAATTAGGTTTAAAAATTTATTAATCCCTTCTTTAATGATACTTACACCTAGATTTTTGTAGTATACCTAAGATTAGGTGAATGGAGATCGAAATCAGATACCTCTGTTGTCTTTCGAAAGGGCAAAGAGAGTTTATTTATTATACTGTCTACTTTTTCATCGGCTAACGTAGACGACTTAGTCTTGGTATACTAAATTTATAAAAAAAAAAAACGTTTAGTTGTGGTGTGGCGACAAATTAGTTTATGGTACCTGATGACAAGTAATACCTGACGAGTCTATTGGAGTCTTATGGGTATTAGGGTTTCGGAGAATTTTCGGAGGACTATTAGGGTTTTTGACGTTCAAAAGTGCCTGTATGGGTCTAATTGAAATAAATAATTTTGATTTTGACTTTGACTTTGGAGATGTAGAGATTGGAGTGAGGAAGGATTGGACCTCTGGTAACCTCACTTATATGACGAGACATAACGTCTTTGTTTCAAGCATATTTCTCTATGAGGCCGGTCGATCCGACCCATTGGTGCCCAAACATAGGTCTCCCACACTTGGTAATGCCAAATTCTTTACCCACTTAAAAAGCACAATTACTTTTAGGCCACATTTATTGATATAAACATAGAAAATACTTCAACTAGGTCCCAATTTCAAAAGCATATATTATGCAGAGCTTAAAAAAATATTTTGAAATATTCTATGTAATTTCTACACAGACAGCTGTAGGTACGTTTGAGAATTGAGAAATTTGTTTTCCTCAAAATCAAACACTGTGATTCTAATAACAAAGAAACGCGGAAACAATTGAGAAAATCAGAGAAAGTGCGAACCTTCGTGGCTTAATGCGATATAAGATTTTTATCCTGTGCCTTCCTAGCCGACACTAAACCCATTATGAGACAAAGGAGTTCCGTATAAAGATAAGACGTTTCTCGGAAGCATCGTCATCTGCCACTAATGATAATAGGTCACATTATTTCGGATAAAGGTTCAGACGTGCCGAAAACAGAGAAAACGAAGATATCGAATCTGGCGATAGCAAAATTATTCAGCGTCGGCGTGCGATCGAGTGGTGTTCCGGACTACTGAGAATCAAGGTGAGATTTTAATTAAACTAATATTTGGTTAATTAATTGAAGGTAAAAACTTAATTTTCGTTTTTTCGTGTACATGTAATTATTTGTATCGTTTTATCCGGAAAATGGTGCGCCAAACACAATGTTGTACTTTTCTTATTATATTATTTTTAACTAGCTTTCCGCGGTTCCGCACGCATGTGTATGTTGATAAAAAGCAGTCTTCGTGTTAATGCAGGGTATCACCTACTTTCATAGAAAATTTCAGCCAAATCGATAAAACGGGGTTTCCGTGAAAGAATAACGATCATACATCCATACAATTCTCACAAACTTTCACATTTTTATAAAAGTAGTAGGATAACTAAAACAAAGTAACAAGAAGTTGTTACATTGTCATCCTACGAGGTTAACATGCGGTTTCTGAAAGGCTTGTCAACGCTAAAATTAACTAATCTCCTGTTTTGATTAAATTGATTTTATCATTGATCGGCCTTTCGAAAACCGGGTGTTAATCTTATAAAATTATAGTCTTTCTTATTTCTGAATGT